ATGTAGAATTTATAAAGTTTTATTTTAGTGTCTTCGTCTCTTACATCTCCTACTTTATAGGGTGTTCTTTTTAAATCCCCCTTTAGTGTAGTAAAAGAATCTTTAATTAACTTTATATCTTCATCTGTGATATTTTCTATGTAATTTTTCAAACTTTCTTCCAGTTTATCTTCTTTAATTCTTTTTTCTATAGCAAACTTTAATGTTTTATTATTCATTTTATTTATATTAAAAATATTTTTTTATTTAAAAATAAAGTAATAATAAGAATTGATATCAAAAAGAATAAAAGTATTTTGATCAAACTTTTATAATTATTATTTAATCGTTATACAAACAAACAGTTTAAAAGACTCAATATCACATTCAGTGTTATTCTAAAACTAAAATACTTCGTTGATTAATGTTCAAAATACTTCTTTTTAATAGGTTACTATAATTAAAAATATAATCTATTAAATCTTTATTTAAAAATAAGGTTTATTGAGGTGAAATAATAATTTGGTTCACAATGATTCAGATTAGTTAATAATATTGTTTCTTTAAAATTTTTAAATAAATTTTTAATAAATTTTAAATTGATATTTAATAAATCATGTGTTTAATCATATTAATAGTTAAAACCTTAAAATATTATCTTTTTTTGTTCAATTTTTTTATTTGTAATTTTTAAAAGTAAATATTATTAAGTTTAATGTTAGTATTAAATAACAAAGTACTTTGATTTTTATTAAAAAATTTAAATTGTTTTGTAGTTTTTACAGATTATAAACAATATTATTTTAGTGTAAATAACTGTTTAGTTTATTAAAAACTTTATTTGTTTCTTTTCTAATCACATTTTTCTATAAAAATAATTAAAACCCAATAATAGTCATAACACAAAGAAGAGAAAGATTCAAAAATATTTAAAAACTTATAAATTTTAAACTACTATCATTTTTTATTAATTATGATTTACGTATTGTTTTGTTTAATTTATTACTGAGATTGTATATTTTATCATCAACAGTAATCACAAAAAAATTATATTTTGATTAAGTATTTATAGTTAAAAAAATAATTGAATATAGAAGAATACGTAATATAAAATTTTTTATGTTAATCACATTATGAATACTGAATCTATTTTATGTACTTCTATTTTCAAAAGAATGAATAAAATCTTTAAAAATAATATTAAACTATTTTATATTTTAATAATCTATAATTTAACTATTCTTTAAGATTATAAAATTTATGAAAAGATTTATTTATATACGGTAAAATTAAAATAGAATAGTTTGTATATGTTTGTAAGGCAAATTGTATTAGAAAAATATATCTGTTTTTAATCTAAAAAATTTTTATTTATTTATTGGTACAAATTTATAAGAGTGTTTAATAATTAAAAATTCTAATGTATAAAATATTTTAACTTTCATCTAAAACTTTTATTTATTAAAAAATAGTTAAAATTCTCTGAAATTTAAATAATTTAAATACACAACAAATAACAATTGATTATCACAAAAGATCTCTTTAATTAAAAAAACTTAATATAAAAATCTATTTTAAAATTTTTGTAATATTAAGTTGTGTTTATAATTAAAAATTATTTTTTTAATTTAAAAGTTGTTATTACAAATAAATAATGATTTTAAATTATAAAAATGTATATTTTACTTTTATTGAAATCTAAAATAACTTATGATCCTATAAAGTTTTGATCAAATTGACTTTTAAAAATTAAAAAAAATTCTTTATTGTTATTTTTAAAAATATTTAAAGGTATTTAGATTATAATTTAAAAAGCAATA